AATTGTTAGAATCCTTGTTACCATCTCATTGACTTCTTCACTGCATCTGATCTTTCTCTTCGACCTCCTTTCTTTAGAAGAGTTGCACATCTCACAACCCGTAGTTGGTTATTTCTTTCATAAAGTATATGCTTGTGTTATGCTAGTAATGGTGTGTGGGGGGGAGTGTTATTCTCAGGTTTGTAATCCGTTTTGACTATAACTCTTGCAAATTGGGTTCGTTTACGTGAGTTCTTTTGATCCATAGGGTGGCTTTGAACAAGCTATTAGTAAAAAAAGATAAACATCCTACCCTTTTGATGACTTCTTTGCATAAATATTCATTGTAATGATGACAGCGTATCCTGAGCAGATGAAGTATTGGGCATTGTCGCAATGAACAGTGGTAGTTAGGGGAAGTCATGTTTGGTTTACGTGAGAAGAGTATAGATTTTGTGTTGCATGCTTATATTAGAAACGCTGTCTACATTTGCATTCAGCTATCTGAGTATACAGAAGCCAAAAATTACGGAGAGAGAGTATTAAAATTCTTACTTGGTGTGTTTTAAATTGCAAAGTCAAATAAGGCTTGATAAGGCTCACATGCCTGTTTGGAAGGAATTTTACTGCAAACCCTGTAATGAGAAGGTGACACTGCTAAGGATGTACCGGCATTCCCAATGTCCAGCATTTTTGGAGTAGGCAATAGCACCCGGGGAGAGCAAGTTGCTCTGTGTTCCTCATATGGCACCGTTACCTTCAGCTTCTGACATGGAAATTGGTATAGGTGGAGGCTAAAGGTTTTGGTCTTGGAGAGAAATCACATGGATGTGTTGAAAGGAGTGGGAGACATGAGGGGAGGAAGGCTATTTATATACTCCTCTCTCATCTGCAGAGCGGCAGCCTGGTGGTCAATAAATAAAACAATGGCATGTGGTAGGCAGTAGATACATTGACCCTTTCATACTGCCAGAAGAGGGATAGAAATAAACATTTCTCAGTCTTTAATCTCATTTCCTTGATATGTGAGGGGGTGCATATAATTGTTACAGGACCTTCAGGGGAACATATTTGAGAAATTGTTTGTGTATTAAACAGAATTTTTCATAAAGTTAGCAGTTCCAGGAAGCTGCTGCTTTTATTATTTCATGCTGTTCTTCAGTTGTTATTATGTACATTAACTGTTGGGTTTTAGCTTTTTCATGTAAATTTTTTTTCTAAATTCTGACTGTGGACTTCTACATAGTAATCATTTGAAATGGCTTGACTTCTTATGCTTTTTGTCATGACTTATTTTTTTAATATGACTAATTAGTGCTCTTTATTCATTGTGTCCCCAGTGTAAAGGTTGGAAGAATTTTTCTGTTACTATGCTAAGGTTTTGATTTTGTGCAGTTTTTCTTTGTTTTTTAACCCTCCCTTGAGTTACTTGACTTTTCTTCAAATGTGCTTATTTTGTTGCTTCATTCTAAGCTGGCTAACATGCTGAACCTGAATTATTTTATGAAATGTTCTGGTCTTTAAGCAAGTTAACAGAACAAATTGTGTGGTTTCTTTCCTCATAAGCTTACAAAACCCTACAGAATAATATGTATATTCATGGTCTGTGATGTAATAAATAGAAATGTGACTATCCAAACAAGCGGATGAAGTAAATATTCATTTGTGTTTTTCATCTTTTTAGATATTTCCAATTGAACAGTCTCCTTCAAGAGAGCGGAATTGTGCTGTGCTGTGTCAAATGAGATAGGAGAATTTCAGATGTGTTAATCTAGGAGTAGTTGCTTAAGAAAGTGAATCTTTGCAGTGTAGTAATACTGCCTTTCAAATTCTAAATGAAGTTTTCTTTAATGTTTTTAATTAATGTTTAATTAACATTGATAAGAAATTAATGTTTCATTAGCATCTATAAGGAATTAACATTGATAAGAAAGACATAGATGCTGTCTGTAACATCTTGCATTTAATTTCATTTAAGTACATTCAAGTAAGACTTGATATCCTTAAGAAGTTTAAAAAATTCTGGTGTTGTTGATGTCTTGGTATGGGAAAACAGATAACTATTTACTAAGTTGGGGACTACATTAGCTTCTGTTGTACTGAGCATCTTGTCATCTGCAGGAGACAGACACCAAGCAGTAGAGTGTGTGTGGTGTTCTTTTGAGAGAGAGAAGTGCTAAGTTACAGTCTTTTTTGAGTAATCAGATGTTAAAGTGACTGCGTTGGGACATCTGGAGTTCCTACCACTTAATTTCATGTCTATGGTTGTAGTTAGGCTGTATGTAAAAATATTTCTTACATGAAAAAAGCTGTGGATCATCTTAAAAAAATAAAAATTGAAGAATGACTCCTTCCTTCTTAACCCTTTCCTCCCTGGTTGTCCAAATAGATTTTTAACTGGAAGTTTAAAAGAAGTAGAGGGGAAAAAGAAGGTTGTTTTGAGCATACCATTAGCAAACTGTTAAAACAGTTTGTAAAAATTGGAAAACAAAGTATTTGAGCTGGTTAAAACCAATCTAAATATAATCAAACCCAGTACAAGTTCTCTTGTAACTGTCTGCTGTGGGAGAGTTGCCCCATTTTAGCGACCAACATGAGGCTGTGGTAGGAGACATTGAACCCGAAAACCAGGGAATTTGACATCTCTCTGGAGCAGCAGCTCTTCATCTTCCTCACTTCAAGCTAGCTTGAAAATGATTGTTCAGTGTGCAGTGCAGCAGTGCAGTGCAGTGAGGTGCAGGTAGCCCTGTTTGGGAGCACATTTCTTTCCTCTTTCTTTTTGGATGGTTGGTCAGGTGTTGGGAAGTGAGGAGCACTGGTCTTGCCTCTCCTTAAATACATCCCTTTGACTTGTTAGCAATTCTGTTGGTATTGCAGAACTACTTGGTACCCATGAAAACCTAACAGATTACTATATTGTGAAATACATTAAACGTTCTTTTTTTTTTTTTTTTTTGTCATCTTACTACCCTTATCCTTCTTTTATTTGCAATCCTGTCCCTCAAAAGAGACAAGTGACAGACCGACTGACTGTGGCTATTTCTATATGGTGCACATCTTAACTGTTGAGTAAATGTATGAGGTTTTAAAGGGCTTATTTTAGCAGAAGCATTTGTTAAAGCCCCTATATCCATAGGCTGTGTGTATATTCATTAACTATTCAGAGCTGTAACATAATACAACAAAAGGAAGCATATTTTAACAGAGATCTGTAACAACCGTATTCAGGCTGGCACCCAGCCAGCGCCTGAAGGCAGACGTTTCTTACAGCTATTTCTAGTCTTGCGGCATCTAGATGTAATAAACTTATTTCTTGGATAACAAAACTAGCTGATACTTACTGCAGTGTCATGATCCCACATTACAAAAATATATTAAGTTTGATCCCTAGAAGTTTATTGTAACCAAATCTCCGAAGGCAGTGGAAAACTGAGCCTCTCCAGTTTCACCGCCAGTGTGACAAGATTTATCCTTCATATAATAGCATCCGAAAGTTTGTGACGAGGGTGGGAAGAACTGAAGTGCTGGTATGAATGGAAAGTGCGTAAATATTTAACAGAATATCCTGTCCTGTAGACTTTCTTATCTGTGAAAAGTCTCGGATTTTCCCTGTAGCAGAAGCCCGGGTGGTTTCACTGGTCAGGGATGGGGCAGAGCTTTGGGAGTCCTTCCCCAGTGGTGAACGTGCATCCTTGGAGTTTGGAGTGTGTCTATGTACAGATTCTGCCAACTGCTCCATGTGAAAAGGGATGGAGATGCTTCATCTCTTGGCCTGCTGTATACTACAAAATAGCTTCTCTGACCCAATGTAGCATGAACGTAGGAATTTTTTCCCAATCCAGTACGATTTGGTGAATTAAAGAATATTTTGATAAAGGTAAATGTCCGAGGAGAAGATAAATGAGATATGTAGGAATTTACTGTGGTCAGAGGTTCTGTTTTGTATGTGGAATGTCAGTATGATACAGCAGCATGTGCTGAAGTGTAAGGTTTTTAAGCTATTACACAGGTGAGAAATGGTGATTTTCCCCACCAGCATGTTACCTGGTCAGCGGAACGCCGCTGTTCCGCCCAGCTGCAATGGGAATTGCCCTCTTAGTTTTAACCACCTTCTTACTGTTCTGTGTCATGTTAAGCTAATACCAGATCGTCTGTTTTAAAAATAAATCACTTTATAGTGTGATGCTTTACGTCTCTGGGCCTCTTTCTGTACTGGATATTTTAATTCTTTTTCCTTTTGTTAATACCCTGACTGAACCAGGTTTAAAAGGTTTGAAAAGAACAAATGCAATTAAAGTGGGTATCTGTGAAATACTTGAGTTCTGTTCCATGTGAACAGAAATGTTAAAAGCCCCTTTAGCAGCTGTGTCAACACCAATTTTCCTGGTTCTTGAGTACAGAAATAGATTCAAATGCTGTTGGTTAAATAATTCACGTTTCTTTTAGGTGAAAAATGAGACCTGGTCTCTTTAGCGAGTGCAATGGTTTCATTTAAGTGATTTAAAAATTGATCACATTGAACTGATTTGAGTGCATTAAGGGATTTGCAGTTATGTAATTAAATTGATATTTTAAATAGCTTTACGTGTACTGTCCAGTTGGGAAGTGTACTAGTGTATTTTTAGATAAAACTTTTTGTTTGTTTTTGAGATAAATGACTGTATTGAGTTTAGAATGTGATTACAGGCATATGACATTGAGTGGACAAATCATTTGGGGGACATATGGAGGAAAGGCAAAAATGTTAAATCAGTGACATTCTGCTTTTCAGGCATATCAATTATTTGATGTGTGTAGCAAACTGATACTTGTAGGGA